AGGTCGAAGGAAAATTGCACCCTGAAGACATATCAATAAAGCCGAGAAACGCTCATAAGCATGTGTCATACTGAATAATTGGTTCATTCTCACTTCTGAAATGGGGATGACTTTAGAGGCAAAATGTTTCATGGGTTTGGAAATGAGTCGTCTTCTGAATTTGGTTGCCTAACTGATTTTGTAATGACTTTCTATCTTTATTCATTTATTAGTTCTGTATGAATGTCTCTTTTTTATATATAGATAATTACCACCATAGTTAACATAATAAACAAGGTTATATAATTGTGGAAAACTAGTGTTGGGTCCCACAGAGCAAAACAACAGCAGGAGTCTCAAACTGATCTCACATAAAAAAAAATTTTTTTTTTTTTTTTTTTTTTTTTTTTTTTTTTTTTTTTTTTTTTTTTTTTTTAACCTTCCTTTCCCTAACTCAAAAAATTTTTTCCCTTTTTTCTTCTTCTTATTTTTTTTGTGCTTTTATTTTTGTTTTTTTTTTTTTTCTTTTTTTTTTTTTTTTTAACAGCAAAAAACCCCCCCCCTTTTTTTTTTTTTTTTTTTTTTTTTTTTTCTTTCTGTCTCTTTTTTTTTTCCCTTGCTTCTTTGTAAATGGCCCTGCAACCCCCGCCGATGAGATGCACTGTAGTACTTAAAGCTCTGGAGGCCACCAGATACTTACCGTTACTTTCAATATTGACCCCCATGTTTGTTCAGGGACTCATTATTCCATTTCTGTTCGTCTCAGTTGTTTTTATGTTAACGCAACTATGTTAATGGTAAAATAAAATAAACGTCCTCTCACGTTCATATAATATTAACGTTGTGCATGTAGAACACAAACTAAAAGCCGGTACGATTTGTCTCTTAGAATTTGACAGATTAGCATAATGATTGGCAGCACCATTGTGCTACAGCTCTTGCACACTTATCACAGGCTTCAGAACGTTTACATACTGCCTGTGGGTTGACGTGAATAATGTGGTAATAATCAGATTTAGCACAGCTAATTGACTTTATCCTCAACTTGATGTAAATCGAATGGAATGTTTTTAATACACTCAAACGACTGCCGCGTTCATTAGCGATTGAAACCTGCTGAAAAGTGAAACGTAGCATTAAACAGGCCGAGGCGCGAACAAGGAGGTCCTGCAAGTTTCACATCTGACAGCCTCCCTACATTAACGTAAAAACCTCGCACAAATTTAAAATGGGATTAAAAAAAAAAGAAAAAAAATGATCTGCATTCATATCATTTTCGGAACACATTATCTGTTCATGATGAGTAATATTTTTGTTCAATACACTAAACTGAAAACATATTCATGGACAAAGACTTGTTCGAAGCAGTTAGCAATGCATAAACAAGATCCTGTTGCGTATATGCTAACGACTAAGGGACAAGGTTTGTGGTTGATCGTATCATATCATAAAATAAATAAATAAATAAATAAATCGAATGAATAAAAGATCACATGGTGCACGTGAATATGGAAACCACGTCATGAACTGAGAGGTTCAGTTCTGCTGTAATTATGGGTTGCTTCAACATGTTCTTAGGGAGTTACTCAATCAAGGGTATATCAGAGTGATCAAGGGTATATCCTCTTGGAAACCTAAGAACTAGCAAGTTCCTAGGACCAAAACAAAAGCACAAGGCATTCCTTGCTATGTGAAATGTAGGGAAATGTGTGACCCATGTGGTTTATTTCACACTGGATTATATCTTCATGTTCATGGAGTGTTCATTATTTAGACACAAATGATGCACCACAGGATATTGAAGTGTCTGATATATACTTTTCTGGACACCTTCAGAATGTTGAACTTCTTTGCACTTCGCATATGCACTTTTGTTCATTTGGTTTTCACTTTTGAACATTGTAACCCAATGAGCTTTTCGGTGCATGATATACTTTCACATTGGGCGGCTGTGGATCAGGTGGTAGAGCCGGTTGTCCACTAATCGTAGGGTTGGCGTTTCGATTCCCGGCCCACGTGACTCCACATACCGAAGTGTCCTTGGGCAACACTGAACCCCAAGTTGCTCCCGATGGCAAGTTAGCGCCTTGCATGGCAGCTCTGCTACCATTGGTGTGTGAATGGGAGAATGAGACAGTGCAAAGCGCTTTGGATAAAAGCGCTATATAAGTGCAGACCGTTTACCATTTTGATCATCAATTGCAATTATCAGAAGAAGTGACATCATTAATAAAGGTAGCTTCTATATAGTAGAAGAAATTACTGTTGCCTTAGAGTTTCGGGATGCCTTAGAGATACACTGGACTGATGTATAGCTTTAATTTAGCTTGTAGCTTAGCTAACTACACTTTTAAAGAGAGCCAACAATGCATAGCTTAGTAGCCCAGTGTAGCAGTTTTCCCAGAGCTTGGTTTAAATATCGACTGGTTCAGAGGAGATAACCGCATTTCAGGAATATATGATATCTCTCAATCGATGGCGTCGCTTGATATTCTCCAAGATGAAGTACTGATTAACCTGTCCGATGAGTATTGTCGCTGACAGTGATGGAGAAATGGATTTTGGACCGTGAAGCTCGAAAAAGAGAAAGCAGAACCTTGAATGGAGGATTGGTCATCACAACACCTCATTTTTCATCTGATGATCTGGCTCGGCTCGCGGGCCTTCTCGCAGCCGTCCCTCAGAAGTGAAATTGACTTGGTGGGGATGAAATAAAGAAGACTATAATAACATTTCATGTGGTGCGAGTTCTGAAATGGGTTGCATAGAAATAGATTTACCTCTTGTCCAACGTCACTACAGCGAAAGTAAATGTTCTTGGAGAGCTACTTTCTAGAAGTCTAATCAAGCCATCAATCAATGGGGAAAAACAAAACAAGGAACCGCTGAGATAAGAGCAAACGAGTTAAGCCTGAAACAAGATGACCGAAGGGATCGTATGGAAAATGAAAATCCAAATCTTTGTAATCGATATACTGTATAACGACGCTAAAAAGGCGCAGACCAATCAACATATACTTTGATTTAAATTACACAGAAGGGAATTTCTAAGTGAATTCAGAAAGTGTGCCAGGTCTTTTTTCTTTTTTTCTTTATATATAGCTAAATCGATTGTGTCCTTTCCCCCTATGAAAAAATTAATCCATGACTCAATATGTAATCTTTTCTGTTTGTATCACCGTGTTTTGTCCTCCCCAAGCACCATAATGAATATCTTGCCCGAAGCAAACATGCTTTTTCTTTCACTAGTCTCTCTCCGGACAAAGAGATTGGCTGAAGAAATTGGCCTATTTTCACTGGGAGCTCAGTGATAGACACAGCAGTACAAAGGAACAGCAGTATCCCAGTAGAAAAGCAATAAATCTCTGCCTAAACGGAGTCTTTAACTTTTCCCAGTGATAAAGACGTTTTAAAAAAGCCGTTAGGGGCCAATTACCATAATGCCAGCTTCATAACGCTACTGGTCCCTGCTACAATTCATTCACGAATTCCAGTATTTTTTAGTTTTTCTTCCTTTGGGAAGGAAAAGCAGAAAAAAAAAAAAAAACAAAAAATTAAAAAAAAAAAAAAAAAAAAAAAAAAAAAAAAAAAAAAAAAAAAAAAAAAAAAAAAAAAAAAAAAAAAAAAAAAAGAAAAAAAAAAAAAAAAAATCATAATTTTTTGGTTTATGCTTATTATTTTTAAACATAAGAGGAGAAAACTTTAATAATAATAATAATAATAATAATAATAATTATAATAATAAATTTTATTTGTTGGCGCCTTTCATAACTCTCAAGGACACCTTACAGAAAGACGACGCACAATAAGAACAGCATAGTTATAAAAAAAATGGAGGAGTTCATTATAATGAATATGCTAATTTGAACAGGTTTCGAATAGGCACATGCATATCACGAATATAGTCTTCCTGAGCTGTGTGGGAAATCCTGCGATATTAATGTACAGTCTGACCTGTAGGGTTCAATTTAGTATGAGATTTTGGAGGCATACATCCCAAATATGCCATAAGCCATCATCCTCCAGCCTCAGAAAGAAGTCTGTATTTACACAGTGGTGCTGGCCGCGGGCGAGTCTACTGTCTAACGCTCGGGCCAGAGAATAGAAATGACCCAGGTGACAAAATATGTGGAGATCAAATAATAAAAACACACGGCGGAATCGACCAGGTGTGAAAGGTTAATCTTCACATTGTGATTTGGTTAGCGAATGTTAGCTAGTTAGCTTGCTGTCATCAATCTCAGATCTACAGGGAGTGAGTAAACAAACAACAGCCGTAAGTGAGTGGAGTAAATACCCAAGAGGTTGGAGAACAATTTTGGCTAATTAAATAGCTTACAACCTCACAATTTTGGCTTTGTGCATGAGCTACTCTGGTAACATTTTCTCCATTTTATTTTATTTTATTTTTTTTACATTTTTCAATATTCATCAGAGATTAAAAAAATATATATATCCATATGCTACTATACTAAATAGTACGTTAGTACACCAGTGAAATCAGTACTATTTAGGCATAATATTTTGTGAGTGGTTTGCAGTTTGTGACACAGCCTTTAACTGGTGAAGCTCAATTCAATATTATACCTAAGATGGCGAAATTCCTAAATGTCACATCCAGCAGCTTTAATTGGTTAGTCTTGTGCGGCCAGATGTGAACTCTAATAAAAATACAAGCCTGGAGACAGTGTTTCAAAAAACTAATAGTATGCCCTTTCTCAACCTGCCCGAGTTGACAATGTTGAAATTTAGAAATTGGAAACTGGGTTTGTTAACACCCTTAAGCCAAAGTTTCTCGTAGGAGTCTATAGAAAGGTATTCTAGATCTGGCCCTAAAAGATTATTAAATTGTAAATAGAGCTGCATGAATAAAATCCTGAGACTTATATGCCATAAATCTGGCCAGTTTTACTACCCGGTCAAACATTTACATTCATGCCATTTATCCAGAGTGACTTACATTTATATAATTGAGCAGTCGAGGGTTAAGGGCTTCGCTCAAGGGCCCAGCAGTGGTAGTTTGGAGGTGCTGGGATTTGAACTCATGACCTTTCAATCAGCAGTCTAACATCTCAACCACTGAGCTACAACTAACTGAAGACCATTTACCAAGTTACTAAATTTCCATAGTGAATGCAAGAAGGCAGCAAGAAGTCAATGCAGGGATGGATTGGTAAGTCCTAGACCCCTGGGTAGGAGCCTACGCATTTCCAACACTTCCCACCTCAACACCTATTAACCAATGCAGCATGCCCTGACCATTCCGCTTTGTAACCTTACACATGCAAAATAATAATAATAATAATTACATTACGAGTATTTGAGTAGCCTCAGAAGTCAGTCTGATTCATTCATGTTTTTCTTTTTGCAAACTCATTCACCAAATCATCTTTAGCAAGCTCCAACCCAATAACCACTCATGCACCCAACATCAACAGCTTAATGGTATTGGGATTTGAACTCACAACCTTCTTCTCAAGATCCCCAAGCCTTAACCACTGAACCAACACATCCCAGAATACAGTTCCAGTTTAAAACAGTTAGGACAAAAATTGACCAGTCAATTTCAGAGCCAAACACACCAATAACATTTCCAAATGTATTTCAGACCGTGTGACTTTTCAGTAGGTGGACTGGATCAAGATCATTACGCGAAATATAAAAAGACGAGTTCGATGACAGCTCCTCAAAGTCCATAGATTGTAGAGCAGAGTAAGGCTGGTGCAGATGTTGTGCTATCGCATGTGATCTGGTATGGAAGAAAAAGTGAGACAAGCTCCTTCTCTAGTGATAAAGCCTTGAAGCTGACATCTGTTCTGAAGATATCCAAACTTGTACACATGCATAAAGTTTAAAAGTGAAGGAGGGTGGGGGAAAAAAAAGTTGGAATATAATAAGTATGCTCTCAGACAGTGACAGGTACTTGGCTATATGCAAATTGTGCGCGAGAGGGAGTGTGTCGGCCTTGTTTGTCTCTCCCACGCTTTACACATCATTATTTCCAGCCTGTCATTCAGTATATGGCTGAAGGGAAGTTAGACTAGGCTTTGCCCCAAGGGATTATGCTAAGATATGCATTTTGTGTAGGTACACATTGCTGTGTTTGTTTATTTGATACTTCACTCAGTCCTCACAATCCCACGGAAAGTTCATCTGACGGTCAGCAGAGGTCAGAAGGTGAAAGGCGAAAATAAGGCTAGAAACGGCAAGATGTTTTTGTGCTTAAGTGTTATGCAAGAGAGCTTATTTTAAACCCACCCCCTGATCACCCTCGGAAATAACTGCAATTACAAGCAAATCGCACGCTTAATTTAATTGGCTGAGAATTACAGCTTCTGGTGCACTCGTTTGCATATTTTCTAGCACTCTTGTCAACCTGTCAGAAATTCTTCCCCCCTAACATAAATAGCTCCTTGTGTTAGACCGGTGATGAGCATAACTCTAGGTGTTGCCGAGACTCGCAAAACATAACAGCCAAGTCCTAGTGATGATGTTTCTCTAGAATCCACTTGAATTTATAACGACTGCAGTGAAGGGATAATATCGAATAGAGAAGAGTGGCAAAGGAAACATCTGATACCAAGGCCTAAATCCTCACTATGGAGCACTTCCAGGGTCGCCAGGTCTTTGCCAAAAAAAACCCTCTGACCTGAAGTTAGTCCAAAAATTTTGGGCATCGGAAAATAGAGCCGCATTTTTCTTTTCACTAAGGTGTTTTGGGACGTGCGGATCCATACCACATGAAAAACCAACCAAGGACACAAGGGATTAGGAGCTATAGCTACATCCATTAACATTTAAAGAATTTGGCAGACACCCTCATGAGCGACTTACATTTATACAGAGCAGTTGAGGGTTAAGATCCTTGCTCAAGAAGCCAGTAGTGGCAGCTTGCCAGTGCTGACATTTGAACTCGTGACCTTCCGATCAGTAGTCCAACAGCTTAACTACTGAGCTACCACTGCCCCAAAGCTATTACACTTTAGGATTGGCCAAGGAGGCTGTATTGTAAACCTTTAGCGTAATAACCAGTGTGAATAAGGCTTGTTTTCCTTCTGCATAATTAATGCTTTATGTGAGCCACTAGAACTGGATAAATGACATTAATGACATGACCAAAATCATCCAGCATTGACAAATTACCAATAAGTAGATGATTTATGACAGGATAATAACAGTTGGAAGTTGGGAGAAGAAATACCACAATGGACTAAACAGAATGTGGAAGTCTCATTGGTGCTAGAGCGCTGGAAAGCATCCTCCATAGGATTCCAGGAATGAAAAAAAAATCGATCTTCTTCCACAAGAGAGTTAGAACTGTCAAAATACTACATTACACCATCAAACTTTAATGACTTTTTGCCATTTGCCGTCGTGTAAACCGAATGGTAAACCGCTGTGTGGTTGTTCTCGGTACTGAGTGAAGAATGTAAAATCTGTTGACTCTGTAATTAAAGTTTAAGGGCAGCTGCTCACAGAGTGCAAAGTAATCTGGGCCAAATATAGCTGTTTAGGCACATTAGGCCCGTGCATGCCGATGGCAAAAGTGGCCAAGCTATAAACATTCGATCTCATCAAGGCTAAGATGGAGTTAGCTATGGATGCGTTCAATTGTTATTGATAAATGCTCAAAATTTTAAAACATTTAAAGTCATTTATAAACTACAACTAATACAGTCCCACATGGATACCCAGAATATTCGTACTTCCCCAAAACCTTAAGTTTTAGTATATAATGTCACCTGGATATTGTTGATTTTTATTTAAACACTGCTGCTCCGCCTTGTATGTGTGGAGTTTGCGTGTTTACCCCGTGCTTCGGGGGTTTCCTCCAGGTACTCCAGGTTCCTCCCCCAGTCCAAAGACATGCATTGTCGGCTGATTGGCGTTCCCAAATTGTCCAAAGTGTCTGAATGTGTGTGGGATTGTGGTCTACGATGGATTGGCAACCTGTCCACATATGTCCAGTGCCTGGGATGGCCTCCAAGCTCCTCTGTGACCCTGTGTAGGATAATCGGGAAATGGATAAATGGACGGATGGATGAAGGTATTAGGATGAGGCAGGCATGAGAGAAAGTCCAAAGCAGTTCCAGTTATTTTTGCCTTCCCAAAGTGTGTGATCAGACCCAAATAACAACACTGATCATCTCACCATCACTACAAATTCTTTCTTCTGGAAAAAGTTCAAATGATCTGTGAGGTCAAATTATGGAGACTCAGAGCTTCATTCGCAGCTGAGTTGAATTCAACAACTCAGACTTGTGAAAATCCAGGTTCTTGTAGTATGGATGTAATGTTTCGAAATATTTCAACAAAACATCCATCCAAAACGCAAGAAGGTTGGAGGAAACTTAATAAGGTCTTTAAGGAATTTTGTCACATCAACTTTTATCTAGTTACATTCGAAGCAAAACACCTTACTCCACACCAGACATCATATAGCAAACAGTATTGACTTAAACTCTACGAGCACCCGGGAATAACCTTGGAAAACTGTCAATACATTACACCTCCCTTAGAGACCGAAATGGGCAATTCAATCAGAGAAAAGTCAACTAAGCACAATGACGCTGTCACGGTAATAACTGGCGGAATGATGCTGACGGATCAGGCAGTGGGACTGGTGTGAGAGCGATGATGGCGTATTCTATAGGGAGAAGGCACTTTACAGGCGACAAAATGACATTTATTGCCCACCACCTACATCACTGACAGCACACACAATCATACCGTTACACCAGTCGGAGAAAATCACTGTTTGGTTGTGTGGACTTGAACTACCCACTGCTTCTGTTTGCCCATTGTATATAAATAATAACTGTATGTCAATAATGTTGTAGCACCACCTGTAAGTAAAGTAATGCGTTCGAATCTGTGCTCGCAAAACTGGTGGTTATACCTTTCTTTTTCATGCTTGGAGTGTTATTACCCAAGAAATCATTTTGTCCATTTTTAAGTATGACTAAGTATCACTCACGGCAAGGTAATATGTCACAGATGATTACTTTGCTGCACTATGATTGTAAGTGGTTAAAAATAGGAACTTAGGAGTCACATAAATCTATAATCCCATGTCTACCCCTGGGCACTGGAGTCTGTGTGTGTGTGTGTGTGTGTGTGTGTGTGTGTGTGTGTGTGTGTATGGAAGTAACTGGGAGCTCATTTCACCCTTAATGACATGGAAAATGAAAGTTCCACAAAAGGGACAGCACACACAGGACATCTTTTGCCCTTATCTCTGTCCCAATGTCAATCCATCAGTGCTCTAAGACAGGCAAGGGGCGAGACTCCTCTGTGATCATACATCACAGCATGCCGCGTCCTTACCCATAATACACTTCTTCATGTCACTGGAACAGCGAGTGTCTGATGAAACCTGATGAAGGGTTCCACCCCCCCTTTTAAATTTTTTTCACATTATACGGGCTTGTCAGTACAAATTCCATGTATAGCACAGCGCTGTTGTGATTCTGATTGGTCAGAAGGTGTTCAATAATTATCCGAGTCATCGTTTCCTGTGACAGTAGCTCAGGCTGCAAGGCATAATGCAGGCGTATATGTCTATAGTAGCAACGTACATAGGGGGTTGTATGGCGGGCAAATGGTTTTAAAAAGTGTCTGAGGAGTTGTTTCATTAACAAGTTGTTTCCACTGTCCGTGTTTACTAATAGTCATTTGTAACCTTTACGTTTTCCATCACAGGAAAGTAGGGCTGTAGTCAAGGCCACGGTTAGCCAAAATCGAGTCAAGACCGAGTCTTAAGGGGGTCAATGCCAAATCAAGATGAAAACTAGACCAAAATCGAAAGCAAAAACTCCCAAATCCTTTTTAAGGCCAAGCCTTAGTTCAGCTAGTTGTCTTCATTCATGCATTGGACCAAACGATTAAGCTGTTTTCTAAAAGGATTTACTGATACACGTCCAAGTGTAAATAATTCAGACGCAAGTCCAAGTCAATACAGAAAATGTATTGCACTGGATTTGAGCCCTACAGGAAGTCTGAGCTTTATAGTTTCTCCGTGTCTTTTTTTTTGTCTCTCCCACTAGTGAGGGAACAACTGTTCATATTTAACTGCTATAATATAAGTGATAACA